GATGCGATATGCGATGTGCAGCGATAGCAGATCGCAAACTTCAACGTGCAGACTTCAACACACGCACTTCACGATACGTGCACACGCACATATGCATGATATGCTTCATATGCTTCATATGCTTCATATGCACGTATGCATATTATGCGATATGCGATATGCAGCGATAGCAGATCGCAAACTTCAACGTGCAAACTTCAACACGCGCACATATGCATGATATGCTTCATATGCTTCATATGCTTCATATGCACGTATGCATATTATGCGATATGCGATATGCAGCGATAGCAGATCGCACACTTCAACGTGCAAACTTCAACGCGCAACATCAACACGCAAACTTCAACACGCGCGCTTTATCGCACAATTCGATGCGCGTTTCAAAATGCGCTTCCGCGTCGGAATGAATGCCGTACACGCTTCATACAGCGCGATTCGCATAGCTCTAAACGCGCAATTCGACATGCAATTCAACGTACAATCAGCCGCGGGATCCAACGCGCGCTTTGTTGCACAATTCGATGCGCGCTTCAAAACGCGCTTCCGCGTCGGAATGAATGCCGTACGCGCTTCATACAGCGCGATTCGCACATCTCTAAACGCGCAATTCGACGCGCAATTCAACGTACAATTAGCCGCGGAATTCGATGCGCACTTTACCGCATAATTCGATGCGCGCTTCACATGAATGCCGTACGCGCTTCATACAGCACGATTCACACAGCTCTAAATGCGCGGTCCGATGCACAATTCAATGTACAATTAGCCGCGGAATTCAACGCGCGCTTTAGCGCATAATTTGATGCGCGTTTCAAAACGCGCTTCCGCGTCGGAATGAATGCCGTACACGCTTCATACAGCGCGATTCGCATAGCTCTAAACGCGCAATTCGACATGCAATTCAATGTACAATCAGCCGCGGGATTCAACGCGCGCTTTGTTTCACAATTCGATGCGCGCTTCAAAACGCGCTTCCGCGTCGGAATGAATGCCGTACGCGCTTCATACAGCGCGATTCGCACAGCTCTAACCACGCAATTCGACGCGCAATTCAACGTACAAGTAGCCGCGGAATTCGACGCGCACTTTAGCGCATAATTCGATGCGCGCTTCATATGAATGCCGTACGCGCTTCATACAGCACGATTCACACAGCTCTAAATGCGCAATTCGATGCACAATTCAATGTACAATTAGCCGCTTCGTATGCTTCGTGTGCTTCATATGCTTCATATGCACATATGCATCTTATGCGATATGCGATATGCAGCGCTAGCAGATCGCAAACTTCAACGTGCAGACTTCAACACGCGCACTTCACCATACGTGCACACGCTTCATGCTTCGTATGCTTCGTATGCTTCGGCCGCGCGCGGAGTGACTGCCGTACACGCTTCCTACAGCGCCGTTCTTCGCTTTTAAGCTTTGACGATCTCGCTTTGACGATTCCCTTTGTCACTGTGCCGATATACTTTCGAGTTTTTTGCTCTTTCTTTTCGCTTCTTTCGCCTTCTCCGCACTTTAGCGCATAATTCGATGCGCGCTTCATATGAATGCCGTACGCGCTTTATACAGCACGATTCACACAGCTCTAAATGCGCAATTCGATGCACAATTCAATGTACAATTAGCCGCGGAATTCAACGCGCGCTTTAGCGCATAATTTGATGCGCGCTTCAAAACGCGCTTCCGCGTCGGAATGAATGCCGTACACGCTTCGTACAGCGATTCGCATAGCTCTAAACGCGCAATTTGACATGCAATTCAACGTACAATCAGCCGCGGGATTCAACGCGCGCTTTGTTGCACAATTCGATGCGCGCTTCAAAACGCGCTTCCGCGTCGGAATGAATGCCGTACGCGCTTCATACAGCACGATTCGCCTAGCTCGAAATGCGCAATTCGATGCACAATTCAATGTACAATTAGCCGCGGAGTTCAACGCGCGCTTTATCGCATAATTTGATGCGCGTTTCAAAACGCGCTTCCGCGTCGGAATGAATGCCGTACACGCTTCATACAGCGCGATTCGCACAGCTCTAACCACGCAATTCGACGCGCAATTCAACGTACAATTAGCCGCGGAATTCGACGCGCACTTTAGCGCATACTTCGATGCGCGCTTCATATGAATGCCGTACGCGCTTCATACAGTACGATTCACACAGCTCTAAATGCGCAATTCGATGCACAATTCAATGTACAATTAGCCGCGGAATTCAACGCGCGCTTTATCGCATAATTTGATGCACGCCTCAAAACGCGCTTCCGCGTCGGAATGAATGCCGTACGCGCTTCATACAGCATCGTTCTTCGCTTTTAAGCTTTGACGATTCTCGCAATTCCCCTTGTCACTGTGCCGAAATACTTTCGAGTTTTTTGCTCTTTCTTTTCGCTTCTTTCGCCTTCTCCGCCGTTCACGAGCTGATATTCTTAACGGCTCAATTAGTATACGTGTCCACCTCACACGTTCAACCGCGCATGTTCGCGGGAGTCATAGTCGTCCTATTACAAGCATGCGCATTTCGCCAAGGTTCGCCCAAGGTCGGTGACACCTGACGAATGAAATCCGATCGGGTCGTGAGAACAAAGTTGCATCACCTCAAGGTTGCACAAACGTACGTGCGCTGTAAAATTTATTAAACCCAGGCCTGCCTGGAATGTATAGCATTATGTCCTCTGCGTGTCATCTATCAATTACGACCTCTGCCTACTGAAACTTGTACATTCCTCTCGCCAACATGGGACCCAAGTGAGTTGCTCCTCGCTGCACCCGCTGTTTACTATTCAGTAGTCGCTACTCGCTATTCACTGCGTTCGTTATACCGCAGGCGCCTTGCCACTATAGATCCGCCTTCTCCGCTGCCGGCGAAACAGCTGCACCAGGAAACAACCACGCCTGAAGCCACCACGAGCTCGGCATCAACCGCAACTCCGACGAGCCCTGCTTCGTGCAGTGCTCCCGCTTCGAGGTAAGGCTTAGCCGTTGCAATCGAGTTCAACACTAGATGTGTTTCGTTTTGCGTTTGTGTTTGTGTTTGCGTCTCTGCGCTTCGTGCAGTGCTCGCGCTTCGAGGTAAGACTTAGACGTTGTAGCCGGGCTCCTCACGAGCCGTGCTTCGTTATGCGTTTGCGTTTGCGTTTGTGTCTCTGTCTTGAAGTGTCTGTAATATAAACTCGCCTTGTACACATTTGATGCGTTGGCTTGGCCGACTACCGGCTGTGCGATTCAACTGCGCATACAGTATGCAACTGCATGCTCCATAACGCGTGCGTTTGGTCGTTGTGGACTTCATGCGTGAACGGAGCGCGCTCCCGTAGGTCCTCAGCTGATTTGCATATATACCAAGCACGGCGCATAGTGTTTCCGCGCAATGCAGGAATTAGCCATCAGCCAGCAACGGAGACGAAGAACGGACCTGTAGGAAACGCGTACGGCATTTGTTTCGGAGCGGAATCGAATGACGCGTCGAAGCGCACATCGAAATGCACGCTAAAGCTTTGCAGGCTGAATTGCGCACCGAATTACGCATCCAGACCCGCGTGAATCGTGCACTTCGGCTTCGGATTCGGCGGGCGCAAGCGTGTGCTTCGGCCAAGCATTTGAATCGTACGCAAGGTTCACAGTCGAATCCCGCAAAAAGGTCGTTCACATGCTACGCTATGCTACGCTATGCTATGCTACGCTATGCTACGCTATGCTACGGAGCTACGGCCCACTCGCGCGAACAGCGCGCTCTAGTCCACCACGACGCCGGTTCAATCCCTAGCGCGCGCGCGTCTTTTTTTTGCGCGCTTCTTTTTTTTTCTTCGTATGCTTCATATGCTTCATATGCTTCATATGCTTCATATATGCTTCATATGCACATATGCACATATGCACATATGCACATCTGCTTCATATGCACATATGCACATATGCACATATGCACATGACGCGCAATTCGACACGCAATTCAACGTACAATTAGCTGCGGAATTCAACGCGCGCTTTAGCGCATACTTCGATGCGCCCTTCAAAACGCGCTTCCGCGTCGAAATGAATGTCGTACGCGCTTCATACAGCGCGATTCGCACAGCTCTAAACACGCAATTCGACACGCAATTCAATGTACATTTAGCTGCGGAATTCAACGCGCGCTTTAGCGCATAATTCGATGCGCGCTTCAAAACGCGCTTCCGTGTCGAAATGAATGTCGTACGCGCTTCATACAGCACGATTCGCACAGCTTTAAACGCGCTATTCGACACGCAATTCAACGTACAATTAGCTGCGGAATTCATCGCGCACTTTAGCGCATTCGATGCGCGCTTCATATGAATGCCGTACGCGCTTCATACAGCACGATTCACACAGCTCTAAATGCGCAATTCGATGCACAGTTCAATGTACAATTAGCCGCGGAATTCATCGCGCGCTTTACCGCATTATTTGATGCGCGTCTCAAAACGCTTCCGCGTCGGAATGAATGCCGTACACGCTTCATACAGCGCGATTCGCACAGCTCTAAACGCGCAATTCGACACGCAATTCAACGTACAATTAGCTGCGGAATTCAACGCGCGCTTTGCGCATAATTCGATGCGCGCTTCAAAACGTCTGTCGAAATGAATGCCGTACGCGCTTCATACAGCACGATTCGCACAGCTTTAAACGCGCTATTCGACACGCAATTCAACGTACAATTAGCTGCGGAATTCATCGCGCACTTTAGCGCATATCGATGCGCGCTTCATATGAATGCCGTACGCGCTTCATACAGCACGATTCACACAGCTCTAAATGCGCAATTCGATGCACAGTTCAATGTACAATTAGCCGCGGAATTCAACGCGCGCTTTACCGCATTATTTGATGCGCGTCTCAAAACGCGCTTCCGCGTCGGAATGAATGCCGTACACGCTTCATACAGCGCGATTCGCATAGCTCTAATCGCGCAATTCGACATGCAATTCAACGTACAATCAGCCGCGGAATTCAAAACGCGCTTTGTTGCACAATTCGATGCGCGCTTCAAAACACGCTTCCGCTCGGAATGAATGCCAGGGGACGCGCTTCATACAGCCCGAAGCCAAATCCATCTAAATCCACTCGCAATTCGAC